GAGTGTCGTGGGCGTGGCGTCCGCAGCCCTCCCGCTCGCCGCGACGGCGCCCCCTCCCCCCAGAGGACATTTTAGTGACGACGGTAACCCAGGCATCCCGAGACCGTCAGAACCATCGCAGACCTTAGAGATTGCGGTGTGAACCTCTTCGACCACGGCCACTGTACAGACATTTCAAGAACTACCACCAGGTGCCAAGCGCAGGAGGACGGTCGTGAGGGCGAGGCGAGGGGTCGACGCGGGGAGCCCACTCGCTGTAAACGGGGGAGACCGGCTGTGGACAGGGACGCGAGCCGGCTTCACCAGGGGCGTGCGCTGCGGCTCCTGCAGCACTGGGACTAAGTGCCGGTCCCGTGTAATCAGGTTGGCTTCCTGGAGAAAGTGCTGCGTGGCAAGACCGAGTTTCCCAGGGTCCCTAAGCGGCAGGCGGCTGGAGCAGCAGTGATGTGTGTTACTGATTTCAGAGGAGGGAGCACACACGGCTGGGTGGGGTGAACAGTTTGGGATGGCTGCGGTGCAGCGTGTGTGGCAGAGGCATCTGATGAAATTGCACGTCCTTTTCTTGATTCCGTCCTCTTTCATGATAGTCTGTTAAGTTGGTGCCCCTCTTAATTTCCTCACGTTCACTTGGATGTGAAAATTGTTTTGGTTCTTTCTCCTAAAATGTTACTCAGATTTGACCTCTTGTTCCCATCCGCACTATTTTACATCCCATCAAAAATCTTTCTTAATGCAGCCTCCCAACAGTGTTAGTTGCCTTGATGCATCTCCACTATATCTGTCTATTTTGCCCAAGAGCAGAGCTATGTTTTTAAAAGGCATCTCAGATCACTTTTCTGCTTTAAGATATTCGTTAGGTTTCCATTTTCTAATGAGATAAAGTCCATATTCTTTAGCTAAGTGTACAATAGATAAAGCCATTCTCCATCTCCTCTTAATCCATCCTATTATTCTCATTTAGGTCACATCCCTCCACCCTCCCATGCCCTTCATTCCAACCTCCTGAATGCTCCCCTTTCTAAAGCGAGTCATACTTCCTCAACTCTACTGTCATTCCCACTCCACATCCATCTTGATAAATCATTCATTCATCCGGCTCAGATGTCACCATTTCCACAGCCAACATTCATTGACAGCTCTAGAATAAATCCCATATATTGTATTACCTGGCCTACTAATAATCAGCATTTTATCTACTGTGATTTAGTTCTTGCCACAGCAAGCATTACTTACTAGATTACTAGGTCAGCACAATATTAAATGATGTAGTACTGTAAGTTAAATAGCTCATGTGTTTAATTCACGGTTTGGACTGTATTGGACTCAAATATTGCTTGACTACAAATAGGGCACATGGAATCTTCAGGCATCCAGTAGTCAGTACAGTGAACAAGAAACTCAGACACAAGGCAGCTGTCGGTGCGTTGCCCCTGTGTAAATGTTCACAAAGTAATGCAAGTGCTATATTTCCTTTTGTCTTTGTTGACTTTGTAGTTCCTGGCTGAGACCTTGTTAGTTAATCCTGTCAATGAGTACCAGGATGATTTCTTAGTAAAAAGACCCTAGCACAGGGGTGGGCCATCTTTTTGCCAGTGCGTGCCAAAACCAGCAAAATCTCTGTCTCAAAATTCTTCTGCGTGCCAACCCTAATTTTTTGAGAACATGTTATGCCTACTTGATATCTCTTAAGGTGTACGTATGTGAAGAACCTTGAAGAAATAATAAAATTCATTCGAGCGACAAAAACACAGTATATGATGATGAAAAATACATTTATTTTTTAATGTATACATGTACACTGATAGTCCGACAGAAAACTTTATGACTCCGTTTGATATTATCAGTGGGACTTCTGCTGCTGCATCACTGATGACAGAGATTTTACATCAGGTTTATATTTTGTGACCTTCAGAGATATGCACGAGCTACTACTTTCATCCGTCAGGCTACTCCTATTACGAGACTTAACAAAATTCATCACTGAGAACAAAGATTCACAAGCATATGTGGATGAAACCAAAACATTGCTTGGATCTAGGAAGGCAGGGAGAGTTAAGGCAGAGGCATAGAAATTGCTCTTCCCCTCTCTCGTCAATCCATGTCTATGGTCTTTAAGAACACTTGTTATGTAAAATTATTTATTTATCTAAGATGCACCTATACTGAATTTATCTGAAAAATAAAAAAGTCGATATTAAGCAACAATTGTAAATGGAAGATTATAAGAGAGGGTTTCGCGTGCCAGCAAAAGTTACTGGCGTGCCATGTTTGGCACGCGTGCCAGGGGTTGCCCACCCCTGCCCTAGCAAGACAGAGTTTTCATAAGTTTTCAGTTAAATAATTTGTGTCTCTGCTGTGTGTCATGACTACCTTTGGGATGCTAATTGAAGCTTCATTTAGTTTATGTGGAGGGCTTATCCTTTGGAAGTTATTAAAGATCAAGTTAACCTCCCATAAATGCTAACTAGCCCACTGCTTTTCTAAATAGGATCAACTGTCATTTGAAAAACAGTGCATTCATTCTAACAAGTGCTTTCAGAATCATTGGTCATCCAAACTGTCTTTGAGTACCTTGACGTGCCTTAAGTAGGTAGCCATGTAGTTGTGATACAAATTTGTGTTTCATTAGATTCAGAACAGCTAATAATTAATTGGAAAATACTTCTGTTGCTTTTGTATGAGTCAATTCCTGTATGACTCAATTTTTCCACTTTTTGAATTCTGAGTCTTCTGTTTGAAATGGTCCTTTGAACTATTTCATCTTTGGGAATAATCTCACCAGAAAGCCAATTCTAATACTTGATTGGCTTCTAAAATCTTTGCTAAGGAATCTTGATGATGTTGTTGAATATGAAATCAGTCAAATTAAAATCTTCTTTATTATTTTTTCATTTTGACCAATCATGTGATATGGATGGTAGTGACTAATTTTTATGTAAATATGTTGATATTGTGAAGAAGTGACTCACCCTTTGGGGAGTTGTGACTGCTGCCTTTTATACAGAATGGGTCTTAGTCTTAGAATTTCAATATATTCCCTAGAATATATTTCATATCCACTAATTTCAGGAACTAAAATTCTTAGCCTGCCCATCCAGAGTAATGGTCTTGGAGAGTTTTTTCTGACATTGGACAACACAGCAGTCAATCTTGAGTTCTTGCCCCTGGATTGTTGTGCTTCTGAGGTGTGTTTTCCTAATGCTATCAGTACCTGTCGGAGTGCACATACTTGATATCCATGTACTCTAGACTTGAGATAGCATAATTAAGTAATTTATAAGTTACATTAAATTTGAGACTAACTTGAAATTCTCTTGTATCTAGATTTGATCAATTTATCCTACTTTGTATTTAATTCTTTCCTTGATTACCAAGTATAGCATTTTCTGTGTGGTGAAATGTGTTTACTCACTGACGTAGTGAATCATAGTTTAAATTTTCCTCAAGAACCTCACTGTTTCTGAAACTTTCATCTTCAGCGTCCCACTTGTACATGAACAATTGAGGTGCTGAGTTTTCTGTTCCTCTAAAAGAAGCTGTGTTTCCTCTATTGCTCCTTTTCCTAGAAAGCCAAAACAACTTTGATTTGTCGCCCTAGCTGGTTTGGCTCAGTGGATAGAGCATCGGCCTGCGGACTGAAGGGTCCCAGGTTCGATTCCGCTCAAGGGCACATGCCCGTGTTGTGGGCTCGATCCCCAGTGGGCGGCATGCAGGAGGCAGACAATCAATGATTCTCTCTCATCATTGATGTTTCTATCTCTCCCTCTTCCTTCCTCTCTGAAATCAATAAAAATATATTTTTAAAAAACACTTTGATTTCTCATTTATTTGTAGTCCTCACTGAATCTATTGACAGGTGATAGGCTTCGGTAATAACCATTGTCTTAAAAGTTCATTTTTCTTTTTCTCTGATTTTTCTCTTGACTTATCTGCTGTCATGCTATTTTATTTGTTCATCTCTAAAGAAAGACAGGGTGACAGTAGATAAGTGAAAATTTACCTCTTCTATGATCCTGGTGGTTGGTGGTGGTAGTAGAAAGCATGTCACTTTGTGGTTTGCCACCTAAGACTCATTGAAACTTCTCCACAGAATGAGGCAGTTCCAGGTGATTGACTTTCAGTAAAGTCCCAATATGTGACCTGGGAAGTTTGTCATTTTCCTCTGAATGAATTTTACTCTTGTTTCCAGTTTTTTTATGAAAAATGAAAAGGAAAGTTTCTGGTTGATGTAACCTCTAACTTTTCAAAATAGTGAGTTTGAAATATGGGATATATTTTTTACTGTTACCTGATTATGTAGCTTTTCAGTATATTTATTACTTAGTAAAATGAAATAGAATGAGGTAGTCTTTGTAGAAATTTAAAAAATAAGAACATAGATGGATTGTAATCTAAAAGTTTTTTTAACCTGTTTGTAATTCAGAATTCATTGTCCCACAGAAACCATGTTGATAGTAGTCTTGAAATTTCCACACCGGTCTGTTAATTCTGTGTACCTCTCATTTATCTCAAGTATAGTTCAGTTGACCCTTGAGCAATGCAAGTTAGGGGCACCAATTTCCCACGCAGTGGAATATCCACATATAACTTTTGACTCCCTCAAATCTAGTAGCCTACCGTTTTTCAGAAGCCTTCTGATAACATAAGCAATCAATTATCATATTTTGTATATGTATTATATACTGTATTTTTTTTTTTTTTACTAAATTTTAATTAATTTCAGAGACGAAGGGAGAGGAAGAGAGAGAGAGAGAGAAACAGCAATGATGAGAAAGAATCATTGATAGGCTGCCTCCTGCAACGCTGGTGATCAAGCCTGCACCCCGGGCATGTGCCCTGACTAGGAATTGAACGGTGACCTTGTGGTTTTAGGTCGAGCCACACTGACTAGGCGTACAATGTATCTTACAATAAATTAAACTAATAAAAAAATGTTATTAAGTCATAAGGAAGAGAAAATACATTCTCTTCCTAACCCTTAACTTTGGTTTTATTTTTGTATTTTCTTAGTTATTCTTATCACTTGTATTAGAATTCAAGTGCTAATTTTCACTTTTATAACCCACGCATCTAGAAAGTGCCTGGCAAGTAATAGGTACTCAAGAAATATTTGACAAATGAGTGTATAAAGACCTTCCATTCCCCATCCACTTTTTTCATTAACTAATTCAATATACAGTGCTGTGGGAAGGTTGAGTCTAATTGACACCATCCAGGAAAAGAGTATGAGGCCAGCAGGAAGGAAGGTGAAAATAGAGGTAAAAATAGCCCGGCAGCCAGGGAGAAAGTACAAACACTGGGGCTGACTAGTAATGTGAGGTAGCAAATAGTGAAGCTGTCCCCTCCTGCATAATTTCTGAAAAATCTCATCTGTCAACAAATTTGGAACTAATATATAAATATTACCTGCTTGTCATCTTTTCCTGCTCTATACACTAGTTTTCTTATAGGATTGGCATATCTAGTAAATGAGCTTTCTAGACAGATAGGATTTTATTATAGTACTAGATCTAGACAGATAGGATTTTATTATAGTACTAGAGGCCCGGTGCACGAAATTTGTGCACGGGGTGGGGGGGGTCCCCTCAGACCTTCTCCAATCCGGGACCCCTCGGGGGATGTCCGACTCGCAAACTGGGACTGCTGGCTCCTAACCGCTCACCTGCCTGCCAGCCTGATCCCTCTAACTGCTCTCCCCTGCCGGCCTGATTGCCCCTAACCGCCTCTGCTTCAGCCCCATGACCATGGCTTTGTCCGGAAGGTCGTCTGGAAGATGTTCAGTCTAATTAGTATATTACCCTTTTATTAGTATAGATGTAAGAATCTATAATATGAAAAGCTTAATATGCTAATTACACCAGACATCCTTCCGGACGAAGCCGGGGCTACAAGGGAAGCACGGGTCCCAAGTGCCAGAGGGAAGCCAGTGCCAGCAGCCGGGGGAAGGAAGGCCTACTCTTGCACGAATTTTGTGCATCGGGCCTCTAATTCCTTTTATGTGATACTTGTGTGGTTAATTTAAAAATTCAATTAAAGTAGAAAATTATTTAAAAATGACTCACCCATTTGTTGTTTTATTTTACCATAAAACACATAAAAGATTATGTTTTCACTGATCTTTTCATATAAGACAAGGGATAAGGAACATTTTCTGTAAAGGGCCAGATTGTAAATACTTTTGGAGACCATAAGTTCTCTGCTGCAACTACTAACTGCCATTGTAGTGGGAAAACAATCATAGGCAATATGTAAATGAAGAGGCATGGCTTTGTTCCAAAATGCAGTATTTATTAAAATTTCAGATTTGCTGGGCTGGATTTGGCCTGCAGACAAACCCCTAATGTAGGAGTTTTTCATGCATAAACCACCTATACTGCATTGGCTGAAGTTTCTAGTTTGGTTTCTTTAAAGTGAAGTAAGAACTTAGACTCTCATCAAGCAGTCTTAGGGCAGACCTTTGCTGGATTTTTTACTTTCCCCTGCTTCTTCACAGCTATTGTTGAGTCTTTCCAAGCATTTAACTTCAGTTTTTACTGAAACAACTTTTCTGTTCACAATCATATTTTATTGGTATTTATGTATTGAATATTAATGTTTATAATTATAGTAATAAGTAAAACTTACAGAAATAAGTTTGATAGCAAACACAGCTGGTGAGAGCTGAAGTCCACAGTCATAGTGGACTGAGAAGCAGTAGCCATGTGTTCTTAGTGCTGTGGGTACCATGAATACAGCAAGTCTGGTAGAGATAAGTTAAGAAAGCCTCTAGTTTATTTACATTGCAAAGAGTTTTTTGTTAGTTTTTGTTTGTTTATTTTCTTCTCTCTCTCTCTCCTCTCTCTCTCTCTCTCTCTCTCTCTCTCTCTCTCTCTTTTAGGGAGCTCATAGAAATGCTGGCAATTTCAAGAAACCAAAAGTTGTTACAGGCTGGAGAAGAAAACCAGGTAAGTGGTTTCTTTTTTAATTCAAAACCAAACCATAATTTCCGCAAGTTTCCTATTTATATTTACTTTGTGTGAGAACAGAAAGATTGGATCATTTTAAGTTACTAATTAAAACTTTTAAATTGATATTTGTATCATTTACATAAGGTAACAATGTATCAAGAAAGTAGTTGTCTAAGGGTTTAGCAGTATTGTTTTCTATAGTTGTAATTGCAGTTACCCATTTATTCATTTTTAACTTTTGAATCATCCAATAAAGTCTTGTTAAATGGAGATCAAAATAGTTTCTGGAGTCAAAAAGGTCAGTGCTCTCATAAACTAGCCCTTTATTGTAGGACTAGAGGTCCGGTGCATGAAAATTCATGCACTCGGGGGGATCCCTCAGCCCAGCCTGCACCCGGGACTGTTGGGGTCCAGCCCCAGCAGGTCCAGGGGTTCCCAAAGGTGTGGGCGGAGTCAGCAAAGAAGGAATGACACGGAGACAGCGTTCAGTTGATCAGCAGCCTAGCCA